TCTTGTTTGAAAGATTTTAGTATCTGTTGCATTACAAAAGAAAACAAAACAAATGAAATCCGACCATACATGGTCCGTCACAGGCTCCCGCTCCCTGCCTCTCTCTTTTCGTGTCTCTCTCTCTGTTTGCGCTGTTATCTTGTTTCCTCAGAAAAAGATGCTGTAGGCTGAATTTCTTCCACTGGCTTCTTTCGGCAAGAACATCAAAGAGTGTTTGTTTGACGAGAAGCCAGGATGCCAGACTTCAGTCAGAAAGGGAAGGTCCAGTCCTGTTCGGGAGACGTGTCCCAAACCATTTATCATCACTCCTCCTTACCTCAACCACAACTGTGCCTCTTTACAGGGTTCCCACCCTTACAGGAATTCTTTTTTTCCAGTGACACAGGGCACACGAAGTTGGATGGAATGTTTTTTTCTCTGTGTAATAAAATGGACAATATACCATGTTACATGAAGTTTCCCTTTTTAGCTCACAGCTGCTTTGCCATGCTGCAGTAACATAACTCAAATCCTTGTTCATAAAAGTAAAAAGTGTTTGTTTTTATGAACACTGCATCTGCTAATCATAAGGAAACTGTTCAACATTTCTTCTGCATTTCATAATAACACTGACTTCAGTTTAAAATAAGTCATTGAAATGTAGATTTATACAAATAAAAGTATGTGAGTGCCTCTGGTGTCCGATGCCAAGTGCAAAATTAGATGTTTTTATAATCATGAAACTACAGTGACAGTGACTCAGGTTGTATTACCATGAAATAATCTTGATTCTTGTTTCCCGCTGAGTTTCAAACCTGGATTGCTGCCCGAGTGCTGCCAAACTGCAGCAACAGCGAGCCATGCACGATGCACTTCAGCGTGCAATATGGCTTAAATGGCATTTCGCTGCAATATCGCCAGTATATCGTAGACAGATCGGATCAAACCGACACTTGGGAACTATAAACAAAAACCTTTACTCTGTCTGGAAAAGCATACAAAGAAAGATATTTTTCCCCTTTATTTGGTGAAGTCTTGATATTTTAATGAAATTTTAAATAGACTCAGCTGAATGAAAGGATTTTAAAATGTTATGGTTTGACCTTGAGTCTTTGTAAAAATCACAAGGACAGCCGGGGCACTACTTGTCTAGTGTGGGATGACCTTGTAATATAGAGATTCCTGTGGAAGGATCATCTTCAAAAGTAGATTACCTTACCTGTTGTAACACATGTGCTCATGTCAATTTCTATAATTAGTGTATTCTTATTTAAAAAGGAAACTCTTATGTAATTCCTTATTTTCTTATTTTATGTCATCTACTTACTGTTCCAATGGCTGCTGCCCAAAATAAACTTGGACAAGGTTTCAAATATTGATGTCAGTGTATGTGCGAGTAATCCTTATGAGCCCAAAGCTCAGACTTCTCTGAACACTAAACAGTTACAGACATTTCTTTTCTACTCTGGGCTCTATGTTAAATAAGACATCTCAGATACACAGCCCTGGCTGTGCACACAGACTTTCTGTTTAGTAAGTAAAAATATATATGTATGACACTATATGCAAATTTGTAAAACAGATTATTATCTAAATAGAATTCGTTCCTTTCTTTGGACACAGCAAAGCCCAAACATCCAGGTGAAGAGTTCATCAGTTCATCAGCATTAAACTTGTATTTCTAAAACTACAACACTGACTATGTGTGAAAACGCTACAATAAGCCACCAGAAAAGATGCAAATAAAAAACAGGCATCATTTAGCTGCTTTCCATCTTTTTCTTTCTGTTTGCTTTTTCCCCAGTGAGCTGTAGTAAAACCTGTAAACTACTTTAATCACTATTCCCATGTTCAAAATTCTCCTGCATACTTTACATTAAAGACTAAGGAGCTTGGACAGAAAAGCATCTGGACTTTCCCAGCTCCTTAGACTACAATGACTTGGATGACTCAGAACCTTCACAGACATATTGCAGTTTACATTAAAGACACTTTTTTGGCAGCTGCCTGAAAAACGCTGGATTCTTTTTCCCTTTTTCAACTTTCAGTGAACAGTGAGAAATAAAACGGAACATTTCTCTTCCTTTATAAAGTAAAACGTCTTTGATTTTAGCTCAGTTTAATTACGCTGCAAAAAAAATGTATGACTTCTGTCCATGAGACATTCCCAACCTACCAAAGTGTTTTTAAGTGAGTGAATGTGTATTGGTTTTTTTCCCCCATAGGGTTTTAGTCCTAATCCCTCTCTTGTTTGAATTATAAAAGCTCACTTTCTATTTATGTTTTGTTAAAATAATGTTAAGTTCTCAGGTCTTTGAACCCTTTCAGACACCTGCTCAACCATTTCTTTCTTTGATATGCAAAATGACAAAAAGAAGATGGACAGCTGATGCGACGACAGTACCGTATTATTCCCGAGTACCTCTCTACTCCCTACTGAAGACAAGAAAGACAGAAAACCACAGCAAGGGAAGAGTGTGAACCGAGAAGCCGTGCAGAGCCAAAACTGAAAAGAGAGATGGATGAACAATTGCACAAGCACAATGGGCGATTCAGGATACACAGAGTCGAGACCCAAACTGAACCACAGAAGAGTGGAAGAAGAGGGGAGCAGCAATTACCACAGCAGAGGCCAAAAAAGGCCACACACAACACACCAAAAACTCCAGTTTGGTGACCTGTCAGGACGACCCAAGCTGAACATAATTGTGAAGGAAGTCGTTTGACATCTGTCCTGCAAAACTATTGTTTAATCAGCATTTCAGTAACTGTATTTCAATATGTAGTTAAAACCTTCAAATGTTCCTGTTGTGCAATCAATTTGATGTCTGTGCAGGATGAGCAGGGAACCTCACAGACGCCTCTTACCTCTTTGTTTGGTTTGGACTACATCAATTAAATAAAGTGAAGCTTATGCTCAATAAGGAGGAAGTGTAATCACTCATCTGCCTGCTTTCCCAGGCGTTTGAGTGTTTGTCTGTTCTTTACATCACTACCACTTTCCCACACTGGCAGTCTCAGTACTGACATCATTACTCTCATCTAATCATGTTAGTGCACATCTTCTTTGAACCAATCAGCTCAGAGAAGGCGTGCAAGACTAAGCCTAGTGTAAATCCATGTTCTCTATCATTCTTCCTCCCAGACTCTCATTTCTGCAGCCCACCTCCTCCCCATCTCTACCTCACAGACACCTCAGTCAGAGCTCCATCCATCCTCAGTCTTCACCAACAGCATAAAAACTCGTCACTGCTGGAATTTTGTTTTGTCGTGTTGGGTCATTGGAACCTAATCCCCTTATCATGAAGTAAATCCTGTTCAATTCTTGCGAGTGACCTTATTGAAATAATATATACAATTCGCTGCCTTCCACTGTAACATAAGGAACTGGAACACATGCCTACTTTTTACTACACTTAGGGGTTGTTCCGAGCACAGTGCAACTTCTCCACTTTCTCAGTTGTTTGCGATGGCATTGCCAGGTTTTTACACTGTGCTAAAAGAACGGAGCATCTTTTTTAGCACTAAGTGTTTGGCTATTTTATTTCAGGTCAGCATCTAGTGAAACACTGCACTCCACATAATCCTCCTCCTCTGTAAATATCCATGTCTGCCCAGCTGAGATCCACAAAGTATCATAATATTGATGTAGAAAGTTCATTTTTTGATGATGAATCATTTGAAAATGTCCAGGGAGCGATGGAATAAAAACAAGACGCAGTTAGAGTGAGCTGTTAGATGAAGAGCTGCAGGATATTGGCTGCATACCTCCAATTACTCTGTGCCATGCTGTTTGCAGACACATGTCCTGTGCTGTCCTGCTTGACTCCTACTAAAGTTGCAAAGTTTTTCTTGCAATCATAAGAACGGAGCATCTTTTTTAGCACTAAGTGTTTCTCTTACAATCATAATTTAACTGAAATTTCTGCCAGAAAAACAATTGCAATGTAATGATAACAAAGTTTCAGATTCTGTGCTCAGACCATGAAATCGTGCTGTACATGCACATGCACATGCACATCTCTTGAGACTAGTTTAGGTGTGTTTTGGGACTTTTTGACGCCTGTACATTACAATTATACATGCACAAAAAGTGATTCTCTCATACTGAACGTTTCATCTGTGTGGACAAATTCACCACCACTTTCCTCTGCTTGAAAACAGAGCTAGATATAACTCAGAGGCAACAAGACCAAGTGTCTGATACAGCGATGGAGGCGTGCTGTGCAAAAGTCTTGAGCTCCTCACTTCACATTTTCAAGGAAAAGTGGGAAAAGGTGCCGTGATTTATTGAAACGTGCAAACATACATGGTGGTACAGTATATAAGGCAAACTGCAAACTGAATATGCCCGTGTAGTGGAGACCATCTTAAAAAATGATTGTAGATGCCATGCTACAGGTAGATGGGATACCAAACATAGAAGAAAAAGAAGAATTAGCAACATGTTGTATCACCTTGTGGCTATTTTGTACAGATATGAATACAATGTGTGTAGAAATATTTGCAAACCACCTATTCCAAGATACCCGACTGTGTGAAATGCATAGAATTCAACCAAAGCAATCTTATAGTGGCAGTGTAGTTAAACTGTATGACCTGAAAGCCGTTCAGAATATTTCCTACCTAGATAAATGGTTGCTATTATACAGATATTCTGGGAAACATAAAATGACGACCCTTTAACACCAAATTGCTTCTAGAGGAAGGCTAATGGTGTTTTTTGTCCATTAAACGACACAAAAAACTAGACAGCAGAGCGCGCAGACACCAAATTGCTCACATTTAAACACGTATCACTCTACTGTTGGGCATATTGACCTTTTAAAGAAGCAGTCTTTCACCACTAACTGGTGTTAATTAACAGCCAACCCCGCGGGCTTCGTCAATTAGGGGCCACTAATGGTCCATGTTGGGGTCGCAGCTTCTTTTCCTGTTCCACAGTCAGAATTCATTAACATCCAGGTGACATTTACGACACACAAAAGAACAAAAAGCAGCAGTTAAGATGTTTACTGTACCTTATCCTGGCTCGTGTCTGCCCCACACACACTGGTTATGTTTGGGAAAACATCAGACCATCCAGCTGTTGTACAGTTTCTGCTAATGTTACCTGCAGGAGAAGAAATGCACACACAACTCAGTCTCTGTTTCTCAATAAGTATGCTCAAAAATAAATACAGATCCCTTTTTCCTGCTTTGTCCTATTTTAGCAAACAGAAAAAAAAATGTAGGTTTCACTGTGTCGCGTTTTGCTAATACTTTCTCGGTTTTTTTTGCCTCTGTTCTTTGATTTGAGCCCAATCAGAGGGGTCAGAGTCTTTGTTTGTTCTCAATGGTCGGTGCTAAGAACCCCTGAATTAATGTGGGTGTCATTTTTATTTGTTTAACAATCCTTCGTTTCTGTAAGTTTTCATTAAACTTTGCACATAAAAACATAACAAAATGGCAAAAAGCAGATTCCTTCCTCACACTCCAGTCTCCCCCCACTGTCCAAACATCTGAGTGTTTTATGGCTAACTGCAACACACTCATCTTCAAAGAACACAATTTGCATTTTCTTTATGAACTCTGAATCCAAATCCCTGCAAAGACATAAAGTCATAGAAGACAAGAAATATGTACAAGACTCAAATGAAAATGTATAACTTTTTTTTTACACCACATCAGGATTGTTTGATCACATTCAATTAAATTTAAGCACGTGAAACAGATTTCAAAATAGTTGTTTGGTAGTGTTCTTGTAATCAGAGTGATTTATTTTACTTCACTAAATGTCATGAAGACAAACAATTTTTGTAGACTGGTTGAGGGCTTTGTAAGCTTGTAGGTGAAATGGTTGTAAGCAGCTCACATTTTTGAGTAAATTAAAAGCTTAATGCAATTCTCATTTCCCATTTGTGGCCCTAAGTGAAACTCAGTTTCTCATCCCTGACTTAATTCAATTTTAAGGTTTATTCCTGAGGAGGACCTTGATAGTTGGTCATCTATATTGAGTCTGAGCCAAAAATAAGAAAAACTGCTCATCTAAATGCACATTTAAATCACACCAGCATCTCTAATGTCATCAGTGACAAATAATCTGACTTTTTCTGGGGATTCGCTGGCAGCAGGGCACCCTTAGAATTTTCTCTTTTTGTTAGGTTTGCTCATCCAAGCACTCCAAGCCATATTCACTCAACTCTTAACTGAGCAAACATATTGTAAATCACTCATTTCAGTTTGATAGAAGTATTTTGTAGCATGAAAATATCAGTGTTTCAATGAATTTTAGTACTAAAAATGAGTGGCCACTGTGAAGTTGGATGCTAAAAATATCTTTGTAAAGCATGATATATGAGAGCCAGTCAAAATGATTTGTCATGTAGAATGAGAGGATATTATAGCCTACAGTAGATGTTACACTGACAGATGCTACTGGACAGAAAGCCACATGAAACTCTAGAGGGAGCCATCAGGCATGCACATTCCCAAAATGTTACAAATGGAAAGTTTGCATTACAAATTGTCACAAAATTTAGGTTATTGCTTATGTTCCCACAGTGTAAAAACACCATCAGTCTGTCTAAAATGAATAGCATGCACAGTGGACAGTGAACCCCTGAGGCAAACTTGCAGGGGGGTGCCAGTGCCAAAATCTCTGCAGTGCACGGCAAGTTCATCCTCCTTTTGTAAATTCCCAGTAAAAAGCACGAAGCATCATTTGTGCGCTGACTGGAAGTAACATCAGCATACTTCTGCCTCACTACACACTCAACAAACCCGGTCCACTGTATCACAGAGGGGGGAGACACAGTTGAAGCTAAGACACCGATTCATTAAGCAACAGTGATTTGCATGTACAGCATGATTACTTGCAACATTTGAGCTGCGTGCACTGCTGTGTTCGCTCTAAATATAACAGCAGTCTTGAACACAAGTGGTCACTGATGTGCAGAAGTCAGCCAGAGATGTGGATTAAAGCTTTGGCAAATACAGCATGCAGTTGAGAAAAATGGTGGTGGTGGGGGGGAGTTTTCAGATCTTTTACTGAAGTAAAAGTATTAACATCACACTGTGACAGCACTCAGCTTCTTTAAGTATAATGAGCACAGTGTGGCTGAAAAAAAAAAAAAAAAAGCTTTAAATGCAGGGGAAACGACTGCTTTCAATATTTGTATATGGATTCAACTGCCAATTTTTATTAAAGATTTACTCGACATTTTCCATCTAAACTCACCTTTACAAGATTTTTTTCCTTTAAAATGATAGGAAACGTGAAAAAAAATCAGAAGACTCAAACTATTTATGTCTTCATGAAAACCAACTTAAAAATGAACTTATCTTGAATAATAGTTTAACTGAATAGACTCTACTTGTTCTGAGTATTTACTTGTTTGGTTAAATCCATAAAAGCATTCATGGCTCTGTCACATGGTGATTGAATGGTGACTGCGCAAAATCTATCGGCAACCACTTTGAATCAAAAGTCAGTTGCACAAGTTGTCTGGTGGGAGGCAACATGTCTTCAAACAACTGCAGTCCAGCTCAGACCGACTACAATCGCTGGTGAACGGGTTTGCAAATTAATTGAAGTGTAATTTATAAACTAAATTGGCAGCACGATGCAATCAGTCTGAGGCAGTCAAGGCAGCAAAGTTATCAACTGACCGTATTCTGGTTTTAATTCCTGACCCTCGGTCATTTTGCTGCTAATTTACCGTCCTGCAAAATTCTGTTTTGGTTTCAAATTAAGTTCTGAGTGTACTCTAAATAAAATAAATCTTTATTGTCACTGTTACAAGAAGAATGAAAGACAGTTTGGCATCTCTCTGTTAGCAGTATGTAGATTTTTAATGTAAAATTCTTTTAGAATAGAGAGAATAAAGAGAAACCATGAAGTAGACTTAAAGGTAAAGAAGTACCTACACAGGGAATGTATGTAATAATGTAAGTATCTACACAGATTTGTACAAGTTATATACAGGTTATATATGCCATATAAAGGAGCAGTTGCAAAACAAGGAGAAAATCCACACAGCGCAAGATAATCTACAGTTGCTCATCAATCTTGTTGTTTAGTGACCGTGAGCTGGTGAGGAAAAGACTGTGGGTTAGCCCTTAGCTTAGCCCTCAGCCCCACTGAAGTGTTATTAGTGATTATTAATCTCTGGCTCTCTTCCACAGTGTTTCTTTTATCCCGTCTTCCTTCTCTCACCCCAACCGGTTGTGGCAGATGGCCCCGCCCCTCCCCGAGCCTGGCTCTGTTGGAGGTTTCTTCCTGTTAGAAGTGAGTTTTTCCTTCCCACTCTCGCCAAAGTGCTTGCTCATAGGAGGCCATATGATTGTTGGGATTTTCTCTGTTTTCTTTTTATTATTGAAGAGTCTTTATCTAACAATATAAAGTGCCTTGAGGCAACTTATTTTGTGATTTGGCGCTGTATAAATCAATATGTAACTGAAAATTAAGTAGTTGAACTGTGAATTTCTGTGTATATAGACAGCAAGTGATTTATAACTTTAGCCAGTTTACCACAGTTAAATACAACATTATCACAAACAGACTGCATTCAATTGTCATTTTGACCCTGTTTAATCACAAACTGATATCAGACTGACAGACACCAAAGTCACTTTGAAGAAGTTCATTGTAGTAATTTTGGTCGTCTCCAACTGTTGTTTTCCATAGTGTGACATTACCATAATTTCTAAACTGATGGTGAGTTGATCTTGATTGAAATACTTAAATAATTAAATTGTCTGATGAGCAGTTTTTTTAATGGCTCTTTTTGATATCTGAGAAACTACACAATATTCACATTTAGGAGGCCATAAAAAACATAAAATATATTTTCTTTCAGTTTACGATGCTATAATTAGCAGTATGAAGGTGAGCTGCCTAAAAGTAATGTAGACTAAAACTAAATAAAGAGTTTCTCTTTCAAAGTTGAATTTATGGCTTTCTCACTGGTTTCGTTTAAATGACAGAAAACAAAGTATTCAGTTACTCCAGGAAGGATGTCTTTACCATTTCAGTAAAACGTAATAACTGTAGGGTGTCTGTGTCTGTCCCAGACAGGGGTGAGGGTGAGCTTTGGCTCCGAACAAGCCGCTGGGCGCTTGCATAATGTTTAGTCATCAATGTAAATCAGAGCACACTCAGAGCGGAAACCCAAACTGCCATCTGGTCACTGGCTGGAAAATCTGATGGATTCAGGAGGGAATCCACTGACTGCACACATTCACACAACTGGGAGATGAACAATGTCAAACAGGGACAGAGAGCCTTGAGTATTAATACTGAACCCATCTGGTGAGTGACTTAAGTGCAGCTCTAGATAATGTGAAAAGTTATCTGCAGATATTTAAGCCTGGTATCATTATATCATTATATTACAGGAGCAGCCTCATAGAAAGTGAACAAATGGAGGAAGAAATTCTGTACAAAAAGAACAATTTTTAAAAGGTCTGCTTCTCTTCATGCTCCAAATTTCATTGTATGTTTTTGTGTGAATGTTTTTGTAAAGCAGCTGCAAAACAAAAGTAATGGAGCAGAAGAATGCTCAAGTAATGTATAAACACATCAGTTTTTACTTTAACTCTGATGTCTGTGTTTTCATGGCAGTCCTTCAGTGTAAGGGGAGATTAGGAACAAATTGTTACCCATACACTCTAATGACAAAATTGACCTCAGTAAGACTGAAGTGTACACTCACAGAAATCATAACAATGGTTTAAGTGAGTTACTGCATTCCAGTGTTATGTTAATATAAGACTATAGTCATGTGATCAGCAGTTTAGGCAAATAGCTACCAAAGTTTGAACTTTTAAATGTCATTTTCCCTCAACTTATTTATCTGCGGAAACACAAAAACATCAGTTAAAGAGATCCTTTACATTCATTTATGAATTAACCGTACTCACCATCTCTGCCAAACACAGTCCTGAGGACTCGAGGGCAGGGGATGGTCACGGTCTCTCCAAACTCCGCTCGCTCCCAGCATGCTATGCTGTCCCAGTCTCCTTTGCATCCGGGGCCTGTGAACGGTGGGTAGTTAGGTATACAAAGATTATTGTAATGTGTCAGATAACGATATAAAGTTATAAGCTTTACTGCCATTGGTTGGCTGTACTGCATAAACTGATGAGAAAGAAAATTAACTGAGAGATCAAGGAGGCTTGGAGACAGTCTTATCCAGGACAAACTCATTTCTAAAATCTGACCAATACTCAGGTGTAGACCCATTAAGTCGACTACAGATAGGTAGACAAACTGAGTCGTCACCATTGCATAAACATGTTGGTGTTTCAGCCGGATTTGTTAAGAAACACTGGTAGACATACAGACCACAATACTGGAGGGATACTGGGGTATTCCCAGACCAGCCAAGAAATGCAATGCTTCCAGGATGTCCTGGGTCTTCCCCAGGGAATCCTTCCAAATGGACATGCCATGAGGTGCCCAGTCAGACCTTCAAGCTACATCAGCAACAGCTCTACTCTGAGCGCCTCCAAAATAACCAAGTTCCTCCCATTTTCTCAAAAAGTGAGTTTATACACCCTGAAGCTCATTTCCACAGCTTGCATCTGCAATCTGTCACAACCAACAAGGTGAGGCTGCAAATGCAGAGTGATTTGTCACTCAGCTCATGCAGCTTTGTCTGCATAATCGGTCAAGTCAGTCTCCCACTCTGGAATATCTCTCCAAGCTCTTAAGCGTGAGCCTTAATGGGTGTGAAAGTGCTGATGGCAAACTGAGCAGTCATATCGGCTTTTTAGCAACAGATGAATGGAGACGGCGTGCTTATTAAACGCACACCTCCTCCTCACCACCCCGGCTAAACATCCATGCTGCATGAGCATCACACACACACACACACACACACACACCTTTTAATACAATAACATATTAAATCTGTTTTTCTTATTAACTTGTTTGTGTGACTAGAGGGGGTGGATATGAGCTTCTACAGAAATAATCCTCCTCTTCTCCCCGATTGAGTGCACCTCTGTAAACACCTTCATCCACAGTGAAACAAGACAGAAAGAACATGAAAATTTGAAGCTCACAATTTTCAATTTGTTTTTTCTTTTCATATTATTTCCTGTTTCTCATGTTGCATTTCCCTGTTCCATGCTCACTTTCATATTGGTTTTATTTTTTTCTGTATTGCATTTAATCCTTTCCTTTGATTCTTTATTTCTTGCTATGCAGTCATCTTTGAGTCTATTCTACATTTATTTTCTGTCTTTAATTGTCTTATCGTCACATGCGTTTCCTGTTTTACTTCCCCTGTCTTTTCCTTATCTGTTTTATTGTTATGTTATTGCAGCATATCATACAATATTTATTTATCCTTCTTGTCTTCATGTCATATTATGACTTTCTCTTTGTGCAATTGTCCGTTTCCTGTTAAAAGACTCACTTTTTCTTATGTGTTATTAACTTCTATATTATAAAGGTTTAAAACTCCAGAGATGGGAAGGTTTTCAGGTATCTGTACTCTACTTGATTATTTTATACAGTATTTTACTGACATTACTTTGGTCCTTATCATACAACTGTCGTAAAAGACAGAGATCAAAGAAACATATTCAAATGAAAAATCATATAATTTATGCACCTGTACCATACGCAGGGATTCGAGTGGATCAGAATCATCCGGAACAGCATTGGAGGTGCAGAATAAGTTGTAGGTGTGGCACAATCTAGCTACCTAGAAGAGGAGGTAAAATCAACCACCTTCAATGTGAACAGAAACCAGAGCTCGTTTTCTTCTTTTTTGCTCTATTTTTCTCTCCTGGTGTTCAATGTAACACACATTCAAGCTGAAAACATTCAGTCTAATCAGAAATTAATGTGAAGGAAGTTTCTTGCCCCTTAATATTTTATTAAGCGACTAGGAATTTATTAAAGAATTATTATTATTAACATAGAAGGTAAAGGTTCAGCAGTCCAAAATACTTGGCGGAAGAGCTGCTTTTTGATGAATCAGTATCAGTTTGTTTTTTTTAACGCTGTTCTTTTACTTTAGTGATGAATGTTTGTACTGTTGCCACCTCTGCTGAACGCATGCCCTGGTCTCCCGTGTATGGGTCCTTGATTCTGAAATGGTTACATTTCCTTCCTTTGTGAATTTGGCCTAGCTTCCAAATGTAGGAACCAAAGCTTATTCTTGTCAAGACCTCTCTGTAAATAATCTGCAAGACGAAAATGCTAAATTCAGACACCATCCTTCCTTTAGAGTACTAAAAAGAGGAACAGCCAGGGGGTGGAGGGGGTGACGGTGAGAAGAAAAGTCGTAAAAGATGGGAAATAACAGACAGAGAGAGCAAAAGAGGGCAAAAAAGGAGAGATGAAAGAGTGAGAGAACAAATGTCTTTGGGTAAAATGGCTCAAACACAGATTTGAACTCATTGGTGCATGAAGAAAACTCCATCTACCCGCTAAGTGATCCATCCTTTCTCTGAGCGCTTTCATAAAAACACATCAGAGGACCAGTTTTTAAGTGACCAGGCGGCAAAAGCACAGCAGTACACATCTGGAGGGATGTCGTCTTTCTCTGCTTTATGGTCTTTTTTTTTTAAATTTCCCAGTCAGTAAAAAATAAAGGGTGACTGAGCCTTTTGGATTTCATGCAGTGAGTTTTTAAAAGTGACTTATGTATAAGTGGGTAAATATATTCCATTAACCTCCTTCAGTTACGGACATGTTTTGAAGGAAAACTTTGCTAAAACTCCATTTTTGCTTTAATTTGACATCCAAAAGTTTCCAAATACTCGCAAATGTCAGAGTTGGTTGGCACGTTATTTCAGACAATTTTGACACAAATGATGTGTTCGGTGGTGGCCAAGTCAGTGAGGGATCACAACATGACATTATAGACTTTGTGATTTCAAGCTGCCCCTGATGAAAAATGACCAGTGTGAAAGAATCTGTCATATCTTTGGTTTAGCATTCAAGCCCACAAGCTCAAGTTGACTTAGAAGAGGTTTGAAGTTGCCCATCTAAAGACTGAGTGTCAAAAAAATGAAGATGGTTGAAAATATACATCAAACTTGCTGTTGTATCCAAGTTTATTTGATTCATGCTGCACAGTGTGGCTTGCAATAAACTTGCTGAATTCAAAGTGCCTGAGGAGTACTTTGCACAGTTTTCCATATTTTCCACATTTCATATTTGATACATACAGTTTTGTTTTAATTTGTCAACTGGTTCAATAAACTATTTTATTTCATGTGGCAGTTTGTTTAATGAAGGCTGCTGAGGCTGCACAACCTGAAACAAACAGTCTGGTGATTGGTCACTGCAGCACACACAGTAAAAGGCTCATTGCCCCAGGGTGGAGGTCTGAGCAAAAATAAGACCCTTTCTATTCCTTCTATAAAGCTCCTCCCATTCTGACGTTTGAAACATTTTAAAAATCGACACATGCACATGGACACTTTGCAATAACGTACACTTGCAACAGTCCTGATTATTACTACAGTTTTACTTATAATCGGTTCTTTGTTATCACTTAGATGATTTAAGGATACATGTAAGCAAAAGCAGCATATGAAACTAAAACAAGAAGTATGAAAAAATAGTCATCATAACTCTGGAAATGGTCTTCTGTTTTCATGCCTCGTTCTTTAGAGAGGTCATCACAGCGGCTATATCTGCATATCTGATGCCCATCATGATACTGCCATCCCCATTTATGCAGACTTGGGACCAGCAGTGGCTCATGTCCCCCAGCTGACACAGCCACCCATGTTTGCTGACCAGGTTGAGTGGAAGTAACCCAAAAATAGGCTAACTAACGCTGAGGATAGACACTAAATATGATGACAGACAGAGGGCAATCATGTGTATTACAGTATATATTATTGAAATGTTATTTAAGGGATCAGCATGGACCTCAGAATCAAATTAAACTTAAGGTCCATTTAGAAACATTTTTGCTACTTTTAAAGGTCAAATGTGAGATTCTTGGTTTTCACCAGGGCTGAGCGAGTTAAATGTCAACTGTTTTGTGTCAAAACATTAGCGGGGCTACAGCATCAGATAAGATCCTGAGAGATTAGTTATAATAAAACTGCTCTCCCCAGCAGATTTGACCCCGCAGAGGTTTTCAGCCGTGTTAAATCTTTGTTCTCGTTCGTGTCATTGAGCTTTAATTAACACAGCAGGAGCGTCCAAACTCACATCACAGATGAGGAAAGTCAGACTCGTCAATGCTGTGCAAACTGTTTTGGGCTTGAACATAACAAAATAATATTTTTATGAGCTTTTCATAGACAAACTGTACATTATGCATGCAGACTTTTGTGCATTTTAGACATAGATGCGTAGTTTAAACTTTAATGATGGAAAGGCAAAGTTTGCTCAAGATTTTCTGGCTAATAGAAACATCACTGGAGACGTTTCAAATGTGCTTCTGTTGGATCTGGTGACTTTCACTGAGAAGATGGTACACTGTGGTCATAAGGGATGGACATCAACACGCAGGTAGGCTATGGTGTTGGTACTTAGGGGCTCAAAGTATGTCAAGAAAAGCAAAAAAAAGTGATGGAGATTGATTGCGTTACACCATCATAAGCCTGTCTCTTTAGTACAAGGCGGGAGGCCTCCATACTTTCATGTTGTTTACAGAAAATTCTGACAGTACTATCCGAAAGTCGCAGCACAAATTGAGACTCATGGGATCAGGAAATATTACCTTATATTGTCCAGTTTGGCTGATTCTTTACAAACCGTAGGCTCAGTTTCTCATTTCTTAGCAGACAAGACTGCCCGTGTCAGCGATTACCCAGTGACAATCGGTGCGGTCTTTTGCTGCTGCTTCAAGGATCAATGTGTTGCACATTCAGAGATGCTCTTCTGCAAACTTTGGTTGTAGCAAGTGGTTGTTTGAGTAATTTTGCATTCCTATCAGCTCAAAGCAGTCCTTCTCTTACAGCTGATAAAGTATTTTTGCCACTTACCTGAAAGTTTCTATTTTTTGGAGGATTCTTAGTGAAGCCTAGTGACAGTTGTGCTGGAAAATCGTAAC